TTAACTGGGTGCCCTCTGGGTGCCAGGCATGGTGATCAGGGCTTTACTCACATTGTCACATTCATCCACGCAGCTCCCCACTGAGGTAGGTCCTGTTACTCTCCCCACTTTATGGATGGAGAAAATTGAAGCACAGAGAGGCAAAGTGACTTCCCCAAGTTTATAGAGCAGACAAGTATCAGGGATGGGATTCAGCCTTCTGTTTGAGCTCTGTCATACTGCTTTCCTAATAGTCACTTACTAAAAAAGCCTTTTTTTCTTTGAATGCAAAGGAGTAAAAATACAGTCTGTATCAATGGAGGAGAGGCAGTCCTTCCTTTTCCTCTCTTAGTTAAGAAACATGAAGGAAGCACCCTTGGCCACAGTCTGCTGACTTCTTCTGACAATTTTGTTCTGAAGAAGGGTAAACGGATCGGAGTTAGATGTACAGCCCAGGGTGCCGGTGTCAGGATGTTGGATGTGGTGCATTTAATCTTTGAGGTTCTTTTCTGGTGATGTGGTGTCTAGAGTCCCACAACTCTCGGTGGCATACATTTACTGATGGGTTTGTAAGGATGCGCAAATTTAGTCAAATCCAAGTATTCCATGTGATAAATTACACGTTTTGAATTACACGTTTCTGTGACATTAACAGGAGTTACTGAGGGTGTGCTCCTTTCTAAGACTGTATTCTGTAGTTGTGATTGCTGCATTTACGTACCATTGTGTGAGATGAAATATAAACCCATGGTACTATGGGAGAATTTATTGTTTCTTACTCTCTAGACAGAATTTAGTGACTAACTTTCTATATTCTCATCAATGATTGCTTTTATTATTTCGGTTGCATTCACTTTTATTCAAAAAGACATTCGCTAAAAATTGCTTGCTTCATTTACTCCTAAATTGCAGATTATGTGAAAATTGCCCACACCCATCAAGCCAAATCCCATTACAGGTATACACTCTGTTGAGGTAATACAAGTAATGTGCTTCACTAAAAAATTATGCTGGGGCTGGCCTGGTGGTGTAGTGGTTAAGTTCACGTGCTCGGCTTCTGGTGCCTGGGGTTCATGGGTTTGGATCCTGGGTGAGGACCTACACATCACTCATCAAGTTATGCTGTGGCAGCATCCCACGTGAAAAATAGAGGCAGATTGGCATGGATGTTAGCTCAGGGACAACCATTGTCACCAAAAAAAAAAAAGAAAGAAAAAAAAGAAATTTACTTATGTGTAGACATGAGTCACAAATAGCAGGGGCTCAATAAGTATTAACCAAATAAATACATATTTGCTTTGATTAAAATCTAATTTAAAAGGGCCATAGATCTTTGATCCCAACATTGGTCATTCAGATTTGTTAAGTCAAAAATTGCTTTGTTTTCTTCTCCTAGGCTGCCATGAAGACCAAGATCTAAGCAAATGCATTTTGCTGGCATCTAAAACGGTGGAAACAGAATGTCAGAGAGGTACAAAATTATTATTAAGCAAACAGTACAGCAAAGTCCACAAGAGTGGAAGCACTGGAATCAATGACAAGAGGGTTAGAGTTATAGCTCCGGTTAAGACCCTAGACCAGTTATTAACCTCTTCAGATCTGGTTTTCCTTTTCTATAAAGTGAGTCTTATAATAACAGGGGGAGATACCTCAAGAGATGGTTTTTAAATATTCTGTGAAATAACAAAGAGCCTGGCACTGTGAAAGGACTCAGTAAACATTACCTACTATTATTAATTTATAGGATTTTTGACGGCTCTAGGTATATATTGGTTTGTTATTTGAAAATTTCCATTTTTAGCATGTCACACTACTGAATGATATTTAAAATTAAAAATTACTTTATTTGGAGGATTCTCTTAAGAATCAAAGTAGACTCAAATCTGGGAAGAACGTCTTTAAAAGTAGAGATGTAAGTCAGAATATTATGATTATATAAACTTGAATTTATAAACATTAAACTTTAATAATTTGGTTTTATATGTGAGAGAAATAATCTATAAACAAAATTTAAAATTAAGTAGAATTTTCTTTTCATAGTTGGCATGGGATTCACATTTTTGAACTGTGCTGTAGCTACAATGGTGTATGAAATACTGTCTCTATATTTAAGAAATTTACGGTCCAGTGGAATATCTAGTGACCAAAATTATGATGTAAGAGCAGTGGGGGAAATATTAATTCCATGAAAATAATTCGAGAGAGTAAAGCCAGGCATTTAATTTGTGTTGTGGACTACTGAGAATGCCATGCTTTTTCAAACCTTTTAAAGTTCTGCATCCGTCACGTATGCCTGTGTGTGTGTATATGTGTGTTCATGAATTAAGAAAACAAAACGAAAATGTCCTCTTTCATTCCAGTTCTTATTGCCTTATTTGTAGGAAGAAAAATCGTGTTTTCTTTTCTCACCCTTAAGCGAAGACACTGTTTCCCGGAAAGAACAATCATATGCATGCATAAACTGACACACAAGGCTTACATAACACAGTCACGTAAACAGCAAAATCCCTTCTAAGTAGTGAAAACTCTTCAACAGAAAAAGTGATATTTATGATGTTTTCCTCAGTTCTTCAGTTTTAATCTTTCTGCTTTCTTTCAAGTCCGCCGGACAGTGCCACACATAATTTTAGAAAAGGAAAGGCAAAAATCTTTTCCTGAACACTGACAGGAATAACAAATAGTCCATCTCTTCCTTGTCCTTTGACTTGGGTGACTCGTGCCCTCGTGTGTGACCACTAGGAGCCCTTTCTGTTGACAGTTACAAGCAAAGTGTAGATGCTTTGACGGACTGCTTGCACGGTCCAAATAAGCCAGGTGTGCAGGATGATCTGGGCAGCAAAAGTGTAGCTGTATCGGGCACCAGATAGCCGTTCTGCTGGACGCGGAAGAAAGAGATGAAAAGAGAGAGAATGAGCACTCCCCAGTCTTCGTCATATTTCATTCATGAACGAAATGAATGAGATGAAAAATGAATTTAGACTTCCCATCTAACTTCAGCTTGTATGTCATTACTTAGAACTTTCCAACTGCCAGACACAAAAATGATTCTCAGATTATTATTCTTGAAATCAAACCCAATTTTCATAGTCTATAAGCTGTATTTAGTAAATTCTTTGTTTTCAAGAGTCATATTAGGCACAGTATGTCTGGTTCTTAGGCTTGACTCTGATCTTCTGCATGCCGAGGCTGAGAGGAAGCAGATAGAGCTATGGTACCGACTGCCTCTCCCGGAGCTGTTGCTCTCTAAGTGTAACCTCATCGTAGAATTAAGGTGGCATATTCTCCAAACTTTTTGAAAATCATTTGTTCCTAACTCAAAGGTCCAAGATTAAAGTATGCTTACACACTAATAAGAGGAGGAAAGACAACTAACTGGAAGAAAAAGAGATGAAGAACACGAACAAAGCGTTGTTAATTGCATTTAGTCTTTTCATTGTCAGTCAATCATATGATTAGCATATCCTGGGTGCCCACAGGGTACCTGAAAAAGAAGGTTGTAGAACTGTAGGGGCAGAGTATGGACAAGCCTGGAATTGCTACCTATTAAATGGGAGTAAGATGAACATTTAATACTGGTGTGATGTAATGTACCAGGCAACGTTTCTGAGAAGAGCTAAACTCTGAATTGCAATTTGATGGATAGATGTTGGATCATAAGCGTATTTCCATCGTACTTCAGAGTTTCTATTAATTTTTATAGGTAGATCTATCCTATTTTAGCCATTCATGCTATTAAATGTTTAGATTGTTTCTGAAATTTTGCTAATATAGAGAGCATTATTATTTTAATGGTAGAAATCTGAAGATTGCCTCAATGTCTGATAATAAAAAAAAGAAGAGATGAATCATGGCATGGAAATACCAAAGAGGATTGTATAACATTAAAATGATTCTTGCCAACACTTTTTGATGACTTAAAATTTAAAAAGTAAAGCAAAGACTGTATTATACATACATTTATATATTATGAGCTCATCAGTATAAAATTTCATATATGTATGAAAATATCAAGGAAATTTTACCAAAATTTTATTGTGGTTTGTTCTGTATGTGGGCTTATAGAAGATTACTAATGCATTTTTTTCTTATTCTTTGCTTTTTAAAGTTTTTTTCTAAAGATTATGTCTTATTTTAGAATCAGAGAACATCTGTGTGCCTAAAATTTCAAGAAATTTGACTTTGGATCAAAAAAATAAATATTTTTATGGTTTTGAGAGATATTTCTAGTTTTTTCTCCAAATGATTTTTATCACTTTAAGCAGGCATCAATACTATCAATAATACTAGCATTGAGTTAAAATAAAATAAAAAATATTTGCCTGATTTAATGTCAAAATACTTCATTGCTATTTTAATTTGCATTTGTTTGACTAGAAAATACCCAGATTATTTTCCCTGTTAGATTTCTAATTTCTGAAAACTATTTCCTTTAGTCTGAATTACATGTAATGTCCTTTGTCCATATTTCTTTATTATTTTATTCCCTTTATAAGAATTCTTTACATAGCATTAAAGTTTGCTGCAAATATTCTCCTTTGGGTGTGTTCTTTTTATTTTTACATTGTTAACTCTTCAGCAGTTTTAAATGGCCAAATTTCTTAATATTTTCCTTTGTGGCTTTATTTATAATTTTAAAAGTTTTTAGCCCTCCAGGGTTCTATAAATATTAAATTTGGTAGTTTTGCAAATGTTTGGCTAGTTTTTTAATTGAACATTTAAAATGATTATTTATAAAGTATTGTTTGTTGCATTGGCCTACATTTTTTCGAATGCTAATAAATGGTTTCAACACTGCTTATTTACGTTTCTTATGATGCTTCCTTTAATTATATATAAGTATATATAGATTCATATACTTATAAACATAGATATATATATAGAATGTATGTATGAATATGTATGCATAGTATTATTCCTTTTCTTTTTAGTGAGAAAGAGTGGCCCTGAGCTAACACCTGTGCCAACCTTCCTCTATTTTGTATATGGGATGAAACCATGGCTTGATGAGTGGTGCGTAGGTCTGCATCTGGGATCTGAACCCTTGAACCCCAGGCTGCCAAAGCTGAGTGCGTGAACTTAACCACTATTCCACCAGGCCATCCCCCTGTATAGTGTTATTCTTGAATTCATTATTTTATTCTTTTATTTTGTACATTTGTCTAAAATACACACTATTGTAGCTAGCCTTGCTTTAATCTTAATGAATTGTAATACTTTATCTTAGTACACACTTATTACTCCCCTTTTCATAAATTTTTAAATATTCTTGACTCTTAACTTTTCTAGATTAATTTTACTACCAATTTCTGTCATGCTCCAGGAAAAAAAAAATCCATTTGGGGCTATTTAAGATTGAGAATTATGTTAAATGTACAAATTAATTTAGAAAAATTGATTAACTTAAATAATTATGAATAACTTAATAATTTATTTGAACTCAACTGAATTTTCTGACTCCTTCTACCAGGAAAGACTGATGATCCTTGCAGAGGCATGAACGGCAACACAGAGCCTCAAACCTCCTGTCTCTTCACCTTTTCCCTCATAAGGCTCTTGGAAGCAACAGCCCTCCACAAACATGCCAAAACTTACTTTCTCTGCTTTGTTAACAGTTACGAATGAATGTTCCACAACTCATGGGATTAGTTTCCCAAAACGCTAAAATGTTTAACCAATTAAAAATTACTTAGGTTAACCAACGTCTTGAGGAGAAGACATTAAAACTCCAAGTCCTTCTTATCTCATGACCACTTATGACTTATCAGATTTCCTAACACTTGAGATTTCAAAATAAAGTTGTTGATTATAAAAATTCTGTGTCACAGGTCAGTGATGGGAAAAATAGATCTAATCTGTATCATAAATTTAGAACTTTGACTAGTCAGAGGGAACCACAGCGTCCGGGGAGAGAGGCCCATGCAAGGGTTGTTAAGCAATCATCCTTTTTCTGTTGCAATTTTGTGCGGCGCCCAAGTGTTGGTAGTGTAGGTGCATATATCCGAGCCATGATATCAGTTCATGCCTTGAATATCAATTTCCTTTTTATCCCAGTCAAGATGTCTGAGGTACACTGCAGTATATCTTAGAACCAACCCACTTCTTGAGTCCATCTCATTAGAGGCGTGATTTTCGATAACTTTCTCCATCTCATTTGTTATACCACACATATGCTTTGTGCCAAGCACTGGGTTGCAAATTTTACATATATTATTTTATTTAATACCCAAAATAAACCTGAAGAATACATACTATTCTAGATTCCCACCTAATTTTCACTAGTACTCTTGTTTCCCATATGCCTCAGAACTTGCAGTTTGCTGTACGTGGACAACTTTCCAGATGATCTCTAAGGCTCCATGGAACTCCAGAACCTGCATTCCGTCATTAGAATCTACCTGCTAGTATTGCCAACTGACTGACTCAGTGAGCTTTGGGTGAACTGGTGCTCTCTCTATGGTTAGCATCTGGAACTAAGTCGGGTGTCTCTTATCCCTCCCAGATCTGTCTGCTATCTTATCTTCTTTTGTCTTGTCTGTCTACTTATTTGTCCATTCATCTATTTGATGTATTGTCAAAGATAAGCAAAAGGAATTCTATTTATAATATTTTCAAGGACCCATAAGGAGACAGTCTTTATATTCAGTGTTGAAACTAACATAGAAAAATATGACCCCTTACTAGTGCTCATAGTTAAAGATTCTTAGCCTAAATGATTACTAGTCAGATGCACTGTGTTGCTCCTATAGACCCATGAATTTAGCTGGATGCAGTTTCAATACATTACAATGTGCCAACTGAGAATTTGATGCTAAAGTGGAGGAAAAAAGAGATGGGAGAAGATAGTTAGAGAAAGACACCAAATTGTTAAGGATTAAAAAGAATGGATAAATTAAAATGCAAAGGAAAAATTTAAAAAGATAAAAGGCAAAAAAGGGAACTTACAGTAAAAGCAAGTATATTACTATAATTTAATAAGAATAAATTAAGTGTGGGCCTTAAAATGAATATATTATACTATGCTCTACTATATAATACTCTACTATACAATACCATGTAATACTATGCTATAGTAGTAACCCTGTTATTGAGATTAGTAAAGGAAAATTTACCTTTGAAGCTTAAAATAACTCAAAGTAGAATATTGTTTATTGTGCTCTTGGCTGGAAAGCACAGTCTATGTTCCATATCTATATAGTCTTTGAAAGGAGAGCAGAATTTTGAGTTAGAATTTGGAACCTCAATTCACTTTTGCATTTGGTGCCACACTCAAATAAGATAGGTGTCCGTGTTGTTGCAAAATGTGAGTTGAGGTGATTCAGTTTCTAGGATGCTTCCAAAATGAAACTTTTTCTTAATGAGTGAAGGGAAGATTTTGCTAATTAAATTGTTTTGTACCTATTTATAAAAGTGAGATTAAATTCCATTGAATTTGCCTGTTCTATGTGTATTTGATCAAATAAATACGGAAGTTTAGCTGGTCAATTTCATAAGTATAGACAAACCCTTGGCGGCATGCAAGGCCTTGTGCTCATTGCTGTGGACTATACGAAGATAAACACGTAGGAGATCTTGCCCTCATGTTGCTCAGAGTTCTGCTGAGAATGGAAGGAGGGAGAAAATACATTTTATGTATTATGCAAATGCAAAGGCAGGACTGAGAATAAGCCAATGAGATATTTAAAAAAATTCTATCAAAGATTAGTATTCTGATCTGAGAGAGTGTCCCAAAGGTTGTGGCATTTGAGTTGGCTTGTAAGAAAGGCCAAGACTTTGATAGTTAGAAATGGGGGAGTAGGAAAGGCTTTCTACGCAATTCAGAACAATAATACTATTTATTGAGCATTTACTGAGTGTTTACTTTGCAATGAATATTAAATACCTAAATGCTTTACATGCAATTAACTAATTTACTTACTACTCAGTTTTACGTAGAAATGAATCATCGACTACATGAGACTTCGTGGATACCAAATCTTCATTTAACAACATAGTTTCCAAAACAGCAAACATATTTTAGATAGATGGTAGAGTTTTTATTCTAATTACAGTGAAATTTTATTCCGTGTTAAAGTGAGAATTATGTTTCAATGGTGATATTTTTTAAGTTCCTCATTTAATTTCCTTCCTTTTGTGATGTTTATTTTTCCTACTGGTATCAAAATTAAGTCTACTAGAACTTAACATACAGGCAAAGAATATTTTTAATACAAATTCCAAAAGGTAATATTTTGTAGCCTAAACACAGTTTTGCGTAGTTTTGGTGCAGTATTCAAGTGAGATGCATGTCTATGTTGTCGCAAAATGTAAGTTGAGTAGCTCAGTTTTCTAGAATGGGTCCAAAATGAAGGCAGCTTATGTTTCACAAGAATGGAAACAACTAACTGCTAATACGCATCAAAATGTTTTTCCTGAGCACTCTTAAAAACAAAAGGCCGAGAAATTATAAGTGTTGATAATTGTTCGGAGAAATTGACCTGGAAGGAAACAAAGAAGCTAGCTGTCATAAAGAGGTGCTACATTTCAAAAGACCTAGGTCACCTGCCATTTGGTAGGCAGAAAAATAAAAAATTCTTTTTCCCAATAGCCAAAATACCTATTTCATACTTCATTATGAAATAATGAATATTTCATAATTCACTGTATATAGTTTCATGATATCAATATTTATCAAGCATGGAAAAAACGTTCATAAGTCTTCATGGCAGATGTGACTTTTTTTTTACCTAAGTTAACAACATTCTCCATAAACAGAAATGATTGTCTTCATGCTTATAATAAAATTGGTTAAATTAAGTGGTTCCGGAATACAGGTGAATTACCTTTAAGTATGAAGATTACGCAAAAGGGTGAATCACAAGATGACATGGAATCTCTGATGATATTCTGCCAAAAGGGATAGGGTTTACAAAAAAAGGGGAACCTTCATGAATCGCTATACCCCCCAAAATTAAAGATTCTGCTTTCTCCATTTGAGAAATCGCGTATAACTGAACTGGAGAAAAGTACAATCCCTCAGTATAAAAGCATATTGTTTAAAAGGAAGCGTGGGGTAAGTTCTATTATAGTCGTATGTCATCTACTTCATTTATGTATTTTCACCTTTAACAAAATAGCTCTTCTGATGCAAACTAACTCTGGTGTCAAATTTAGACATCAGCTGAGTAAATATTTCCAGAGAAGTATCTAGAAAAATGATTAGCAGGAAGTACAGCTACCAGAAGAGAATGGAAGGTAGGCAGTGGGAGGAGAACAGGAATAAACTTTGAACCAACAAAGACTTTTCCGTTCCTCTAGTTAACCAAAGTAATCTGCAAAATTTTCGCTGAGACAATTGTTATCGATGGTATTTTTTTGTTTTTTTGAAGGAAGGTTAGTCGTGAGCTAGCGTCCGCCACAAATCCTCCTCTTTTTTAATGAGGAAGATTGGCCCTGAGCTAACATCTGTGCCCAACTGCCTCTATTTTATAGATGGGATGCCTGCCACAGTGTAGCTTGATAAGCTGTGCTAGGTCCGTGCCTGGGATCTGAATCAGTGAGCCCCAGGCCACTAAAGTGGAGCATGCGAATTTGACTGCTGTGCCACCCGGCAGGCCCCAAGGAATTTTTGATTAAAGGAAAGTTATGGTGTGTTTGGATTTATCTTTAAGTCTCGTTCTCACCATGTAGCTTTAAATATTTCAACTGGATTGACTCAACTTGAAGTTCACTTGAGCATTTCCTAAAAGAAGAGATCTCTGATCTGGAGAGCCGTGTGGAGGCATTCTGAATTGCATAGACTTCTATGTAGATTTCGACAAGCTTATACATACATGAAGAGAAATAAAAAATGTGTAATCTGATGATACAACTCCTTCAGTCATTCTTGAATAATTACCCCTGCCTAAGAGCAAATAGGATCACACCAGAATGATTTCACCGATTGTTTTAACCCAGAGGATCTGATCAATATCTGAAGTGGGCCCTGTTTTCCTTGCCTCATAGACTTTTTCCTATTTTCCTGATGTAAATTAATCCCAGTGTTATTGTGGTGGTGGGTGGGGGTGGGTAGAGTAGGGATGTTTTATTTGTAGTGGGAAACAAATTTTGTGGTTGCTGACTCTGTTTGACAACATCTCCGTATGGATGGCAAGGATAATGATCTGATGTATGGACATGAGCAAGTGTTTCCTTAATTTTCTACTACCTGGTCCTCTCAGAATTTTCCCAGCTTTTTTGTTTTTGAACACATAAACAATGAAAAATGAAAATACCATGAGAGAGGAATTGTAAAGCAGTCAGTTGCTCATATGCTGGTCCCGCAGTTTCAATATATACAGATACTTAGAAAGAAGAAGAAGAGAAACTGAGAAATTTTCTACAAGCTAATGAGAGTATAAGAACTGGATTGTGGACAAGGAGGTAAGTGGGTAGGGGCACTTTAGTGACAAGAGCACCACCAACCAAATGGGACAAGTACAATGGAAGGAAGAGAAAGAACACAGGAAATAAACAAACAAAATGTCTCTGTAGATAACCTTAAAGGTGGTGGGTGGAAATCTGTAGGTTCTAAATATAATCTAAACATTAGGTCAACATTTGAAAGGCTTTTTTCAAGATTGAGGATTTTTAATTAATTTCTGCTGTTTGTGTTTGTTGTAAGGAGACAATACTTGTATTATACTTAGAAAATAAACCAAATGAAGATATTGTCTTATCTCAGGCTCTTTTGATTTTATTCACAGCAAGAAAATGATCCCATAATTTTTATGTGACTCATATGCAAAATGAAGTGCATTCATCCATCTATGTGGTCTACTGATGGGAAATAAAATCAGATATTTCACTTCTGACTTCATCAAGCAAAAGAAAAATCAGTTGTGATTCCAAGAAGAGATGAACTCAATTGGTAAGGAAATATTTGTTTTAGAATTTTCAGAAAGAATTATCAATAGCGTACTGTAAAAAGCGTTAAAGGCCAGAGTGTAACGTTTGTTTGTTTTTTAACGAAATCATAACTGGCACATAAAGGAACATATTCATATTTGAGAAAGATGCAATTGCGAGAATATTTAAATTTCCTCCTGTGCACATAAAAAATAAAGTTCAGGTGTCATTGAGAAACATCATATCGTATTCTGAGCTCTACACTAGTAAGCTGTCAACTTCTTGAAGACCAAAAAGATACTTTGACGTGCTTTCATGTGCTTTGGTTTTTTGCTTGAGGAAGATTAGCCCTGAGATAACATCTGTGCCAGTCTTCTTCTACTTTTTGTATGTGGGCTGCCTCCACAGCATGGCTGATGAGTGGAGTAGGTCTGTGCCAGGGATCCAAACCTGCAAACCCAGGCTGCTGAAGAAGTGGAGTGTGCTGAACTTTAACCATTTGGCCATGGGGCCCGCCCCTCATGTAATTTTTTGACTTCACTTCATTATGTTGGTCTTATTTTGGTATATAGATATAACCTTAGTTCATTTGTTCTGTTTATTTTAATTTCTAAACTTAAATTCTGTAATCTAAAAGTATATGCCAAGTTGGGAAGGTGTTTCTCCTGTTTTGTTTTCATTTCTGTTTTCACATTTTTTTTTCCTGGGACTAGGATATTTTGTGACAAGACGGCATTGAATGTGCATAAATTTAATTACTACTTGTTTGGTCAAATATTTGATTGGGGGATTGGTCAGCAGGGTTGAGAAGAAATCAGCCCTGAGAGTTTTATATTAAAACTAATTTAGGAGGAAGATTCTGCCCCCATTTGCTTCTGCTAGTCAATGACAGGGTGAAATCTGAGTTCTTTCAAACATTGGGATGCAAGATGAAAATGTCAATCCTACCCTCAGATGTTTCTCAGTGGTCGTATGTTAGACATTGTAGATAAAGCCTCTATGTATGTCCTCACAGGAAAGTTTACCTTGGCTGGCAAGTCTAGAAACTCAGCAATACTCGCTATAAGTCTAAAAACACATTCACACAGTGCTATTTATAATTTATGCGCTTAATGTTTTGGAATGGGTAATTGATATCATTAACATAGAAGTTCCTTAAATTTACCTTTGGCATAAAGGTTTTTGTAAACTTGTTTTCAAGAAAGAGGTGGGACCTAAAAAAGGAGAAATAAAATATTGTTTAGTATGCATGTTTGACACTCAGGTTTATTGATATGTTCTGCCTTTTATAAGATGAATACTATGACAAATGACAGAGAAAAGATTGCACGTTACTATCTCTGTTCTATCTATGTACTGCCAGTGGGCAAAGATTTCTCATTTCATACATCATTTACAACTTCCTACAGTAATTTCACACAGTTCATATCCTCAGTACAAGGCATAGCAATTATCTCTACACATATATGCATGCAGGCATACTGAATATGAAAACCATGCACTTCCAAAAGTTGCAGAGTTCATGCGCCCCCAACCAATAAAAGATAGTAAAAGCCAGTAAGTTGTCCAATTAAAAAACTTTCCTATTTTAACTGATGCCCCAGTGTTACCTCAGAAACAGGTTGTTTCAGGAGGTATTTTAGAGTACTGTTTGTAAGAGTAAAATAATATTTTCAGTTTTCCCCATTGCTTTTGTATTCCAAAAGTTACATTAAGAAAAAAATCTTATTCCTTTTTCTATCCACTTTTACTCTTTTGCCTCTAAATAGAATAAGAAAAATACAATATTGCGTTCTGGAATGGAGAAAAAACTTAAAAACAACCTCCTAAAATGTACAGATTTGCAATTTTAAATGTGAATAAACATTAAAGTTTGACAGCGTTTGTTTATTTTGGACTTTCTAAAATTATTTTATCATAATTTTCCTACTTTTTCATCTAATATAGTACACGTAACATTTAGAGAGATTATAAATTGCTAAATTGATAGATAATTCATAGTCTCCAGAAATAAATTCTGAACTTCTTCAATTGTGTGATCAATAACCCATAATTAATTTTTAACTTTTGAGTTTCCAATTTTTTTCAAATTTCACTGTTTTTCATATTCTGGCTTTCATGATATGTGGTTAGAATAATAAATAGTAACTACCTAGTTCCTTTCAAAAGTCCAGAAAGTAATATTTCAGATTCAACAAATACAATGAATCCTATTAGCTACTTACTAATGAATTAGTACCCTACCTCTTTTCCAAAATTATTTCATATATTGCCATAGTGTACTGCTACTCTTCCACAACCATGAGTTTTTTAAGAGTCTTTTCTTTCTTTTGGGAGATTGTTCTTCAAATTTCCTTTTATTAACCTTTACTTGAGATCCATGATGCATCAAAAGGCAGAAATCTAAGCATCTATAGAGGCTATGGTTTCCCTTATCTAAATCCTTGTATTCTAAGATAAGACAGGAACATATAACTGGTATATTCTACCTTTATGACACTTTCAGTTGCTAAATTTTGATAAACGCACAAGAAATTAGAGGTCTTTGTTCATTACTTAAATTAAGAAGAGATTTCCAGGGCTGTTCTGTGGCTGACCACTTTCTTGTCCTTGCATTGGTCTTCTTCTGCACTTCAATATCTTTATCTGTAAAATGAAACAAACTGGATAATTTTTAATTTTCTTAATATAGGTAAGATCTTTTTTATTAGCTATGACACCAGAAATGTTATATGTCTGGAAACCAAACAATTTGGCAAATTGCTTTTCAGGGTACAAAATGAAGACACTGATTTTAAAAATCAAGTTTTTTGTTTGTTTGTTTGGTGAGGAAGATTGGCCCTGAGCATCTATTGCCAATCTCCCTCTTTTTGCTTGAGGAAGATAACCCCTGACCTAACATCTGTGCCAATTGTCCTCTATTTTGTATGTGGGATGCCACCACAACATGGCTTGATGAGCAGTTTGTAGGTCTGCGCCCACGATACAAACCCATGAACCCCAGGAGGCCAAAGTGGAGCACGTGAACTTAATCACTACAATCCCGGGCCAGCCACCCCAAAATCAAGATTGTTTTAATGACTACTGCATTTAACTTTATTTGCCAATAATCCTAGTAGTATTACAGTTAATGACAAACAGTAACTATAGAAATAGTTCCATTTTACCTTAATTCTATGGATAGTCACATTTTTAAAAACAGGCCAGCATTTTCATCAATGCTCAAATCCACATATCTGTTTTTCATAGCTATTTTGTTTTGAAGACTTTTTATTAAGCATTTTCAAATGCCTGAATAACATAGGGATAAAGTAAATATCCATTCAAGCATGATTTAGAGTTTTTAAAATGGAGAATGTAGTCAAAAGCAGTTCTTTTAATGAGCTTAAACATGGAAATGATTGTTGAAAAGCCACACTGATTAATTCTTCATAGCATTGACCCTGAAATAACAGAAAGAGCTATAATAGCATCATACATACCACATATGTAGAAAATCCACATTAGTAATTTTATACAGCCTAAGTCATTTCTTCCTTTCTAATCTTCAGATTCAGACCAAAGCTATTTTTGATTGCAACTCCATTCTCTATGTACACACAAATAAAAGAATGAGTGGTGTTGTCAGGCAATACTTTTCTAAAATTATAATACTACTAATTCTATGATCAAATCTCACTTCTTCTTTACTGATGTTATACTAGAGACATTTTATCATTTGTTCATTCAACAGATGTTTTTTGAGGTCCTCCTCTTACATAAGGTAATGTTTCAGATTCAACAGACGATTCAACAAATGTCTGGAACGTAATGTTTCAAGTTCAACAAATACAGCTAAGGCCAAGACTTAGCTAGCTAAACCTTACTTAGTTTGACAATAATTAAATTCAGTGTCAGATTCTTGCCATAATAAGGATGACTACATGTATTAGTTTTCTATTGTTGTATAAGAAATTACCCTAAAAGTTATGGCTTAAAGCAACAGACATTTTTTTATCTAACAATTTCTGTGCATCAGAAGTCTGAGAATGGATTAGCTGTGTCTTCTGAAAGGCTGCAGTCAAGGCATTGTTCAGGGTTGAGTTCTCATCTGAATACTCAACTGGGGAAGGATCCATTTGCAAATTCACTTAGGTCACTGCCATAATTAATTTCCTTGCAGTTGTAGGACCGATGGCCTCATCTTCCTGCTGGCAATCAGCTGGAGGTCCTTGCGGGCTACTGGCTAGAAGCTCCCCTCAGTCCAGGAGGCTTCCCTCCATTCCTTACCACATGAGCCTTCCAACATGGCTGCTTTCTTCATCAAGACCAACAAGCTTGAGAAATATTCCTGCAAAATGGGACATATGGTCTTATGTAATGTAGTCACATAATCACATACATGTAGCTACACACATCCCATTGCCATTGTTATTTTCTATTGGTTAAAAGCAAGTCACAGTTCTCACCAACATTCAAGGAAGGGGGATCACACAAGGTCATCAGGAGGTAGAAATGATAGGGGACACTTTAAGAGTCTATAATACTACATAAAGCTAACAATCAAGGTATGAGCAATTCATTTTCAAATAAATGCATAAATAAAAATAGAAATAGTATGGTGTAATTCAAATATTTTTCCTGGAAATTGGGAAATTTGGCTTTGCTATAAGCAAGTTGCATGACACAGTCACCTGAGTCATCTCTCTGGCCCCAGAAGGATTTGAGTGCCTATCTGAAAATGGGGGGACTAGACTAGAATTATTGCTAAAATAATTTTCAGCTCTAGACTTTTTACAAGGCATAGACTATTTGGAATACATAGAATATACAATGAACTAAATGTTTTACTTTTTACCCCAGGCATTTATCCAGAAGTCTAAGTCTTCTTAATGGCTTATAACAAAAAGGCTAATCTATCAGGATTTCAATTTAATTTAAATGCACTTTTGAATGTTTATTCTAAACAAGTCATGGAAGTAGTAGAGAAAATGGTTAAGAAGATGAGTTCTAGTGTCAGATACTTGAGTGCAAATCCTGGTTCTTTCTCTCATCAACTGAGTGACACTGGGTAAAATATTTAATCTCTATGGGTAACATGAAATGATAATAGTACCTAATTTACTAGATTGTTGTCTCACAAATGTTAATTATTTCATAAATATTAGCTATTGTAGGTTTTCTTATCATTACAATATAATGTGTCATTGTGCTAGGCAAGGAAAATATATACAAGGTGAAAGTTTCTGTCCTTTCAAGGGACTCACAGAAATAGTGCTTTATTGAAATATTTTCTATTCCAGGTAGACCACGTTATCATAAAAAAATGTTTTATTTCCCTTGAGATTTATCAGTAACCAGGATAGAGTTGAAATTCTTGTTTAATTTGCTAAATATGGTTATATTAATAATTGAATAATTTCTGTTGGACTTTGTCCAACATTCTCAGAAAGAATTAACTAGGGCAAGTTTTTTTAATGTAAAAATACTATCTGCCTATGAAATGTTCATTTTGATTCTGTATATTCTGTTCTTTTGTGAGCAGATTTCCAGGTATGACACTTCATGGTTATTAATAAATGGACCATACATAAATTATGCATTAAGAAAAAATGAAAGACAAAAGCACTGAACATCCCTTTTGCTAGTTAGAGGAAACAGTTTCACTGTCTGACATTGAAGACAAGACAGTCAGTACAATTTCACAGAATTACAAGCAGCCAGATTCATACCACCTCATCTTTCAAACTCTCTTTTGTTCTCTACACAGAAAAATCGCACAGCATGAGAAATAACCATGGAGGGACAGTCATTTTGCTCTGAAGAAGGAGAATCCTTACGCATACACCTTTTCTGAAATTGTTTTTACCACATGGTCTCAAGTTTTCAGTCTTTGAAGTTCTTCTATGACACGGGGAGAAACTCAAGAGACCAAAAAATACAAAAGTCAGATACTGAAAAGCTCCCATGAAAGTGGACATCCTTGACAGCTGACAAACACATAATGTGAATGTAATAAAGCATGGCAAATATTGATGTGTTTCATGAATACGTGGATGCCTTTTGAGGGAACTTAACTGAAGACAAGTACGAAGGTAGATCTACTGATGAATTCCTCTTTACTTTCAACGTCAAGGAGAGAAAAGGAGATACCAAAGGAGCTGAGAAGAGAAATGATCAAATAGCTGCATCTCAGTTGGTGAAAATCACACCAAATCCTTTTGAGTATGCACCACAATCTGAAATTGTCTTTTTTCTTTACTTATTCACTTCTTTGTTGTATCTCCTCATTTAGAATGTGAGATCCAAGATGGCAAAGATCTTGTGTGTTTTGTTCATCACTTTAACCCATTGCCTAAAATTGCATAAGGCCATGGTAGGTGCTCAATAAAAAAATGCTCAATGAATGAATGAGGAATTGAGAGATTGAGATTCTAGTTTTTCCTGCAACGAAGTAGCCGGGGGACCTTAGGATAATCACTGAACCTCTTAGAGGCTCAATTTCTTCACCTTTAAAATGATAGAATAGAACAGATGGCTAATGTTTCTTGCAGTACTAGTATTTATTGATGGTATGCATGTTTCAAGGGTTCATTTGGTAACCAACTAATGTTTTCACAAGAAACATTTCATTCCTGATTAAACCATGTTTTTTGTCTAAGTCCAGTTTTGGTTATTCAGATGCCCAAATAAGGTCAAATGAAAGGTTCTTGTAAGTTTACATTGAAGGTTCTTTAAAAAATTTTTTTAATGGTGAGTTTTTTAATGTTAATTAAAGTTAATTAATTAATTTAAAAGTTAAGTTAATTTTTTAATAATGAATTTCTAGAAAATTTTAAATACAGGTAGATCTATTTAGTAGAGGAAAGAGAATTGAGAGATACCCAGTTCTTTCCAAATTTAGTTGTGCTATGAACATCTTGGATGAGTTGGCATTAGAAGAATCTTCATTTGTCTCTTTTTATATTCTGTGTGGTAGATGTAAATTCAATATTATACTAAACACTCTTGAAGGGATTTGTTAACAAAGCCTGACTTCACCACATAGGCAAGTGATTGAATGCACAACTGTGGAAAGATTTTGCTAATCGTGCTGGAGAATATTTCGGTTCCTTTTCCCCCTTGTGAGGATGTTTTAATTTTTAATTATGCGTGTGTTTCTTTCTCAACAGTCCTAAGTGTGGTATATAACATTTTAATAAGATTAATATATAGAATTCCAAGTATATTTCATTTAAAATATAAACTTCTAAATATGGTAACACAAAGGCATTTAATTTCAGCATTCACTATATTGAAAATATTTTTAAAGTCTTTTATTTTGCTATTGTAATTGCAAATAGGAATGTGAAATATGATTAAGCACTAGGGGATTAAGAATGCTACAATAGTCATATTTAAAGAGCACTATTACATTCATATTTTAAAACCGTGTCCTTTATTGAGTTTGAATTTACCTGCTAAGTGAATCTCAAATGCTATTAGTTGTTATTTGTTGATTTCTAACTTCTGAGCAAATGTATAGAAAAGGTGTGCTTACAAAACTTGGAAAACATTTATGTTAATCATTTTTATTGACGTACCTTCCCTCTAGACTGTTAGAAAGTAAAGGGATTCAGAATTAGAGTTCCAAATAGAAAAAATGAAACTAGTAAACTCTACTGACGTGTAACTTCTTAAGAATTTCAGCGTACAATTTGCCCATACAGGTTCCATTAAAGTTAATGGGAGTCGTGTGACTGCTTCTCTCTGTAGGGTACTAAAAATGTACCCTGCAGTATTCAAAAATCTGAACCTAATTTTTACTTTCTCTTAACCTTGATTATGATACACTAAAGATAGACACTTTCATTATCACACGCATATAGTAAATTTTATATAAAGATTTGAAAATAATCTACTTGGGGAAGAGGCTGAATTTATATGGGTCAGAGTGGAATTTTAATTAGTGTTGCAAATACGGGTACTGCTTTCATTATAATGATAAAACAAGCATGAGTATCTGTAATTTACCCTCTAGCTATACAAATGAGAACTTAAACCTCAATGAATTCAATAAATGAAACATTTTCAGAACACTTACTTAAAATCAGGTCTACTTTTTAATCAGTCATGTTTTAAGTGAATGCTTATTAATAGATCATTAATAAAACATGCTCATAAAATGAGATTTCAAGAAAGAGGTGAGATGAATAGAAGACGAAGAAAATAAAAAGACCTAATGGATAATTTTAAATTTTGTTTTAAACAATTTAGTTTTAGTAAGTTAATTTATTTCAAATTAAAAAGTGAGTTCTAAATCTTCCTTTTTTCAGTTACATATGAAGATAAAACACTACAGATTATACTGCCTGTGAATTCATGACCCTTTAATACTGCCCAAGTCCTCTCTGCTTTTGACATTCAAGCTAAAATAGTAATCTCATTTTTTTCCTTTAAATAATTTCTGCCTGACTTCTATCACCACCTGGGGGAATGAAATGATAAGGTTTTATTTTTAAAGAATGCAAAAAGAAAAGGAAAACTATATACATGAGTAAATACCCCACAATCCATTTTTCACTGAAATCAGCAGCTATGTTGCAGAAAAGCGACAAGCACAAAATTTTTCCTGAGCACAAAGAACACGGGGAAAAGGCAGGCAATATTGCAGAACAATAAATAAGGCAGAACACTCTCCAAGGGTCCAGAATTTGGTTTGTATAATCTTCCAGAAGGCAGAATTTTTACCCAATAAAACATAAACTGCAATTAGGACTGATCTTTTTATGTTATACATTTATCTTCTCTAGATTTTTATTACAAGGTTCTCTGTGTGTAAATTACAGAGAGTCCCACGAGTTTGGGTGGGGCTGGGGAGAACAGTTACAATTACAAATAAATTCAGAGTTTCCAGTTTATTGAATCTGATGTCAAACACTCAGCTACTGAACTTCATCAGATTTCCAGAGTACTTCCAGCTCAAGATCCTGTTACTTAGAATTGGCATTCAAGCTTGCAACCATGAAAACGTTTTGTGCTGCAGTTTGCTTCTCTGATCTTTGGGCTTCCCGCTGCAAGCTGTAAGCATCCAAACTACGAGGGCTCGTTGGACCCATCGGATTTCGGCTTTCCAGGCTGATTTGTGGCACTGACCGCAGAGCAGGAGAGGCTGAAGATTTTTTAGTCCTCATTACCTATAAGTTACTCTTGAAGGAGAGTGAAAAACTTAAATGTGGCTTCTTGGAGTTATGTCTGGCAGTCTGGGCTATACCAGTCGCTGACCAACCACATAGCTCTCAGAGGTTTTAGCACAGCTCCAATCTGAATTATTCTGATTCTTGACCTGATTTTATAAGGCCCCACTCTTTCTCTTTTGAGGACATGGTTAGGTGTACCATAGATTAAAAATACTTTTACCATGCTAATGTCTGTTGTTTTTGAATTTTGAAAGGAATGAAAATCGTGTTTAAGATTTTGCAATGCCTTTTGAAATAACTAGAAATACCATAGGATGCTGGGATTATTTGTCATGACTTAAAAAAAAGTGTTATTGTTCTTCTTGTGCTTTGTGACTTTACAAGAAGAATAACAGGATGAGATAAGACCACAGCTCAGACTCTGAATTAAGTACAATGTATCAAGAATATGCAGAGACCTGAAATGTCATACCTGCACAATGTGTGTCGGTGTTTAGCAGAAGGACCAATCCTATGTCATTAAGACAGTGCCTCTACTGTGGATTCTGGGATACTCTTTTCATCACTGGAGTTCTGCGACTCCACTTCTATTTCTCATCCACACGAACTTGTTCTGGTTCAAGGTTATTTGGTCCTTCTTTTGTACTACACTGGAAAAATGCTCTTCTCTTTCTCCCATAAGTACCAAATTATACTGAAATCATTTCTTTAGGAGTCTGTCTCTTTCCTTAAAATGTAAGTACCCTAAGGGTAGGGAACATGTTTCACCAATGTTTACAATCTGTTTTACAACTGGTGCTCAGGCTTTATTGAGCGGAATAGCTCGGGTTACATGCTTCTAGAAAGTTCTCAGTCTTTCAATCTCTAATTGTTACATGTTGAATTTTTACATAGAGACCTAATTTGTATGACAAAGCCTCTGTCAAGGTTATTTCTTTCAGCTTAGCTATTTCTGCCCAAATTTGCTTTTCCTTAATTCTGTACTATGCTTAGCGGTGAGGTTCTCTCTATGTTCCCATCACATCATGTGCTCTGCTAAAGCCTTCTGCGAAATGTGTCCTACAAGATACCAGCTGCTGGTGACCGTCTCTGGATTCCCTCTGCCCTTAATGCATGTTCCAAGTATGTTATGAGAGTGGAAGCCAGAGGCTCTGGCACAAAGAGCTGCCTTTACAGCCTTCCCTGTGGCGGGGACTGCGAAGTCTGCGTTACCATGTGTTATGTGATGACTCAGTTCACCCCAATTTGCCCTTTGGGAACTGCTGTGAAAACTTCTTTTGTACAGTAAATCATGACAGCATTTGGCCTTCATTCGGGGGTGAATGCATGGTTTATATATTAAAGCCATTTCTTTTTTCCCTTTAGAAATACCATGTGGCATCAATTTGTTTGTAAGCACAAATCAAATGGCAGTTTAGGATCCTCCAGATGATCCAGAATATGCTGTATTAAGTTTTTAAAGGTTATCAGAGCAATGAAAACCAAACACTGAAAAAAATTAAGAAGCTACTTGAATCCCTCAGAATACGTTCATATACCCACAGACATCCTCAGATACTTGGAGAAAATCTGCTCTGAAACTTTTAAAAATGCCAGGGCATTAATAACACAGGTCAATAATTAATATCCTATTTAGAAATATGTACTTTTTTCCACATGTGTGTGTGCATCCACAGAACTGAAATGTGTTCCACCCAGCCAGCAGAATTTTATATCATTGGTCTTCAGCCACAGGTGAACTTAGAGTACAGAAAAAGGACCAGTGTCAATTTCATAGCTCCAACTTCTCAAATGTGTTGTATGTGGATAAATATGGTAATTCCCTGAGTAACTTGCTCATTAATGTCTCCAGCCCCCCAAGAAATATCCCAGGCTGTGCACTATGGGTTTCCAAATTGGTGCATCCAGCCATACTTGTGGCTCTTGTGGTTGGTCTGTGGCTTGAAACGTAACTTGCCCAGCAGTTCTGTTTCCAAAAATAGGCCCAGGAAGTTTGTGACCATGTTTGGTTTGTTCCAAAGGGGCTGCCATATATTTAATGAGGTTGTGAACATACACTAAGATTTGTATATGGCTCATCAAATAAAATACATCTTCAACCCTCTTTCACTTCAGTACGTGGTTTGGAATGGGCTGTTTTACAAGCACATGTGTTTATCATATGACTTTATTTGGGGACAAATAATCACTTCTTACGTTTAGGATACAGATTCTGAATAGCTTAACACTCTG